TTCATTTAAAACTATGACTTTAATTTTCAGACTTTATTTCTTTTTTTTTATTTATAATGTTATAAAGAAATTTAATCTAAGAAAAAAAAAATCAAAATATTGTTAATTTATTATTCAGCCAAACATCTATTCTAAGCCAAACCTAGTTATTTATGACATTTTTACTAAACAAAGATAATTAATTACTGAACTAATTAGTTGTGTTTCACATAATCCCAATTATTTGTTACTGATAGCCAATAGTTTAACAATAAATGCATGCATGTGCATGTATGCATTTGTAAGATGCAATCGCAATGTTTAATGTTTGTTAATATGAATGATATGAATTTAGGATCAAACAGCAAATTAAAAATGTAACTAACAATTTGATATGAACAGGGAGCATTCAATAAGTTTTGCATATTTTAGTTACTTGATAAATTTGCAAAAATTAAAAATCATTATCACTGAAATTAGCATAATTCAGTTTCTACGGACTATAAATAATCTTTATTTTGAATTCAGTAAGATTAATTTAATTCATCAAAATTATACTGCCAATTGAATATTTAATATCAAATACTGGTAAAGATTGTATTAGATTTAATGGGAGCTAATTTTTAATATTTTAAATATTAAATTCCTTACAGTTCAATTCATGAGTTAATATTAAAAAATTAAGAATTTTTTTTTTTTTTGTTAGCATTTCAATTCCTCAAATTCATATAATTTCTGCTATTTCTACTCCAATTTTTGATTAATTTGATATTTAATACTTTTACACTTTAAATTTTTGATCGTTTAATTTTGAAAATAAAAAACATATGTGAAAAAGAAAGAGAGAAAAAATTTAGCTAAAATTTACTGCTGATAGGGTATATTTTTTCCCAATCTTTTGGTACTTCTCAAATTTGATTCGTTCATTTTTGCTGTTGTTGCTGTTGCTGCCATCGTTGTTGCTGTCGTTGAATTATTTACAAAATCAGGCTCATTTTTACTCTTCCCATTTAAATCACCATTTATTTTACTTGATTCGATTGTATTACTTGTAGTAATAGGCATTGTTGCTTGCGATGTATATGTTAGATAAAAATCCGGATCGCAAAGATCATCCAAATCACTGCTAAATTTAAAAAAAAAAAAATTAAGTTAAATTTGAAAAAAAAAATTGCAAATTTTTTTTCTTGCTTGCTAAAAAAATCCAATTTATAAATGGCAAAATTACAAATATTTTAGTAACAGTTAAAATTTAATTCGAAAATTGCAAATAAAATTACAATATGATAAAAATGAAAATTACAATTGTTACAATATTTTAAGAGTAATTTTTAAAAAAAAAAAAAAACGATCGAATAAGAAATGAAATACTTGTTTGAAAGAAAAAGAGAAGAAAGAAAGAAACATACTTATAAGCATCATCATTTAATGTTTTATATGAGCCATACTTTGTTTTTCTTCGTTTTGATACATGTTTTGCTTGTTCAACAATCTATAAAGAAGGAAAAGAAATTGGAATTAAATTAAACTTAGCCATTTGCAAATTTTGAATAAAATTTGAGCAAAATTGCAATGTCGAAAATTATAATTTAGATAGAGCTGTACAAATTACAATTAAATTATTCAAAAATAGATTTATAGAAATTATTCAAATTATAATTAAGCAATTCTAGTTAAATAGTTTGATCTAAAAAAAAAAAATTTTTTTCAATTTTCCAATTATATTTATTCATTTCATTCACTTGAATATAATAAATTATAATTGTTCGTATCTGATAATTATTGATATTTAAATGAAATAGTGTGTGAAAATAAGGACAAATGAGACATACGACAGGTTTCTCCTGATCATTTGCTGGATAATCTGATTTTGATGATTCGGTTTTTGGAGTTGAATTCGCAACTGGGCCATTACCGGTACGATTGAAATCAATTGGTGTCGCGTTCATATCCGTTATTTTGCTATTTTGACCAAAAAAAATACCGTTCGTTATCTAAGAAAAAAAAAAAAATATGAAAAATTAAGGAAA